AAGAGGAAAATATAATTGTTTGACCTAGGTGATTCTCCGAGTAACACATGGAGACATTCATGAAACCTGAAATGTATACGTTTCTGAGACGTACATTCCCTACGTCTTGGAGACGACTCAAATGCAACCGTCTTCAAGACGTCTTTTACAGGTCCCGGGACGAAAACGTGAATCAAACCTAAAATGTATATCTTAAAGTCGTCTGGTGCTGACTGATACCTGACCTGCTATATATAAAACAGCAAAATCGAATGAATTGTTTCAATACATTTCCCAAATGATTCAATTTTGCCATCCTATTTCCATGGCCGTTATAAACTTTTGATGTATTCCTATATCGTATGAATTTTGCGTAGATATAATGTAGGATATAGGTATCGTAGTTTCATGATTATTTTTTGGTTTTATGCTTTTTATTATCTATTCGCTTGAAATTGGCAATATAACTTTTCACGAAAGCTGATTGCTTTTATTAAAATTTCCATCCGATGCTAACGGTTCGACATTTCGTGTTCGCATTAGGGTAGCGCATTCAAATGTCAATGAGTTCATTTACCTTTTCATGCTAGGTTAGGAAAGGGTGAACTTTGAACAATGGACGGTATGACTCATTCATACCTGTCAAAAAATTTAAAATAGTATGATGCGGCTCGTCGGATAATAGCAATATGTAAATGGAATGATTGAACTTTCAGGAAAGTTATTTTGCCAGGCCCGAATTAGAAATTTTGACGCTTCAAGCAACACATATTTTGCGTCCCCCTATTACGAATGTTTGGTCAGGTTCTACTTTTTCACACCATATTGTGAAAGAACATACATATATTTTTTTATGAATCCAGGCAATAACATAAATTAAATATAGGTTACAGAATATCCCAGCAAACATTAATACATGGTCCATCACTTTTAGAGCAATGTCCCCCAAGTGAATTATCAATGGTTCAATGTTGGCATTTTTCAATGGTAAATCACAAAACTTGACCACTGGTCGACTTAATGCCAATATTGGCAATGCAGTACTCCCATTTACTGCTTGTTCATTATGTTGGGGCAATGATGACTGACGTATTTTCAGTGCATTTCCAATGGAAATCGAGTGTTTTATTCTTACACAGAGTATTTGAGGATACGTATAGAATATATCATTCTACTAATGATCATAATAATGAAAATGATAATAATTATAGTTTATCCAAAAACAATTGCAGAATCTTCTGCCGCACCTGCAATCACTTCAAAGGAATCTTCAGACACGCCGACGCCGCACAGTGCGGGATATTCTGCAATTGATATTGGATATACTATACCTCGATAGATCTTCTCGTATTCAGTTATATATCTACATCTGATCTGGTCAATCAGCTCAGAGTTCACGAATTCTATTTCTGTTGATTGATATCGTAACTTCTGGAATACCTTCTCTTGCTTTGCTTGCATACTACCCACCCTGCTGCAACAATAGTCAGGTGGAAACAAAGATTCAAGATCGAGGTAGAATTACCTAGATTCGTTCTAGGACTGGAATGATATGATAGAGGTTCTATTACCCATATAGCACCAGTACGTCCCCAAAACGTACTGAGAACGTCTGGCCAAAACGTTTCGTCCGTACTGGGGACGTCCAGACTGCGTGCATTTGTACATCCCCAGTACGTCCATTCAGGACCATGAATACCTGAATCAACGTAAATTCGCCTTTTTCCACTCAGATAGTTGAGAAAGACATCTAGACAGAGTAGAAAAGGTCTTATTCTGAATTAACGCTCCTATATACCGGGGATCGATCCAAGGATCTACTACCTACTACCTATTACTCTACAGAACAGAATGTCGATTGACCCTTCACATTGATACTTTATAGAATTATATGATCACGGCATAGAATACCTAAATAGATGTTTTGTGATTAGGTAAAAAATTAATTGTGAGAATTGTATTATAATATCAGAGATTATCATTGTACAATTTATTCAATCCCGTGCACAAAAAGTCGATAACTTCTAGAGTTGGACGTACTCAGTACATCGGAATCGTACGTACCCAGTACTTCTGGAAATGGTCGTTTTCAGTACGTCTTGACAAGGTCCTGGACGTTCAGACCTAAATCGGACCTAAAATGGACGTCCCCAGAACGTCGAGTTCTATATGGGAACATATCACTATCAATGTTCTCGGAGAAGATTATCAGTTTGTATACAACTAAATTCATTTTTTCGATTTGATGAGATTGAGTTATAATGCACTAATATACAACTTTTCATTTATTCATTTGTTCACTTCACATCTTACAATAGCAATTGATGGCTCGTGCGCAAAATGATAGCAAAATCAAAATGGAAGGCCTAGTGAAAACACATCAATTGTCGATTGTCGAAAAAATACTGTCAATAAAATGCATCTGATAAGCTGATGGTCCATTGTCATGATGACCTAATTACATTGAGGAACCTATATCCTTTATTTGTCGTTCAACTATATCATTACTGTTCCAGTGATCTTTGTAAACTGGATTATACCGTTATCACCGATAAAACAAGGCCTGCATGCTCCGTGGGTGACGTCACTTAGTCAGGCCTAACCAGCGGCTCGAAACGACAAGCGCTTATAGCGCTATAAGGCGACCGCGTATTTCGATTTTAGTTTTAGATCATTATTGAGCCGATTTTGCTTTTTTTTTGAAGGGCTTCCGGTTGAAAGAGGATGCCAGCCGTCAACTGAGCCCTTCTTCGCATCCCATTCGATTTTATTATGGAAAAACGAAGTTTCAAAGCAAAAACCAGAATAAAACACAAATACCCACCTACAGCAACCCATTCGAATCAAATATATTGGCAAAAATTGTAGTGATTCAATCTCATTAGAGGTAAACTTCACATCTACTTATACAGGGCCCGCAGAACATAAACTTATCATGAGATTGATCGAAAGAAAATTGGGGAAAATGTATTTTAGTTTGATAGACATGCCGTTTGTTATACCTAATCACCTATATTTATCTTGGAGAATTCCTATTACCTAAAAAAATAGCCAGTGAGTGTTTTCAATTTCCTGTTGTTGGATTTTTTACCCAATTGGTCGTTAGACTTGAAACAGTAATTTTTAAGTAGAGTGTTTGTAGTACATGTTAATATAATAGTTGCAATTTGATCATTGGAATGAATTCTGCATTCATTGCCACGAGGCAAATGACCGTTTTCAGGAAGAAATTTGAGAATGTATTGAGTCAGAAACCAAAGAGTCCAATGCATTCGAAATATGTTTCAAAACCCTCTTTTTCTGATTATCAAGACATTTTCCCGAATTATGTATCTCGTTTTTATCTATTTCAATTAGTAATTCCTTGATTTGATTGATATTATTAGAGATAAAAGGTGTTTTCAGATTGGCTTTTAGAGATGTTTGTATCGCTAGGTCATACAAAAATGATTCCACATTCAAAACAAAATCAATCACAACCGAATATGTTATTACGGGCCCTGGAGAATAAGACAATTTGAATAATGTGACTTTTTGCAAATCGATAATTTTGAACCACTTTTCGGGCAACTGAAAAGACTAATACAACTAGAAATTCTTGAAATTCTGTGTAGCAAAATGATTTTTGGTAATTTTCGATATCAGTTTTACTTTTGGTAAGTGCTTGTGCCAAATTTTTAGTCTCTAGTATCTCAAGTTTTTCATCACGACTTGTGCGTAATTTTACATCTTTCGATAAATAAGATGGACAGTTGGGAAATTGAGTGGGAATAACATCTCGTTTGAGCCTAGGAATTTTCAAATCTATTGTTACAGTTTTGCCAGTTTTTGAATCGGTTGCAGTAGATGAAGTAATAATATCATCTTTAGTAAAATGTAATTCACATACTTTACTGTACTTAGATGGAGTCGTAAAATCCTTGCTGTGAATTGCATGTACCCACTTTTTCGATAGTTCCTTGTCCAACGGGAAACTGAAAGCATGAACTTTTGGACCACCCACATAATTCCCCCGACAAAAGGGAACACAACACTTGTAAGGCATTGTTATTTCGCCTATCACAACACGAAATATTTCACAAAACAGTAATTTCTCCGCCAATTATTTTGATGAATAAACAACAAGAGAATTCGAGCACACCCGCGATTTACCTACACACCGTTCTTAAACAAAAACAAACTGACGATCGATCGACGCGAATGCCTTGGAAGATGGCCTGAGTATGCGACGTCACGAGCTGTTTACGTCAGAGTCTGCTGGCCTTGTTTTATCGGTGATAACGATTATACCCATTAATTCACCAATACCGTAAAAATAGTGTAATCCTGATCCATATATAGGAAATACACTAATGCACCAGCATGTACGAATTTTGGGAAAAAATATATGTTTTACATGGCGGAAAAGCAGATTCAATGCCTAGGTTGGTTTTCTAGCCTCGACTACGCCTTGGCTATGTAAAACTTCAGCCACGACATTGAATCTTGTGATTTTCTGCCTAGTAAAACAATAGTTAGTTCTTAATTATTTTGTGTTGACCCAAAATCATTGTCAAGTTTGCTAACCAATTCGATTCAAATTATCAATTAGAACGTTGACTTAGCAACAAATTTTCCTCTCTGTTAAGTGTAATTGGAAATCACTATTTCTTTAAGGTTGCAGACAATAGGAATAAAAAGCTTTCGAAATAAATAAAATTTTTGGTACATAAAATTCAAACCAAAATGTTGAGAATTCTACTAAACAATAAAATACGTTGACGAAGAGTCATCTTTATGACCACTGGCATTAGTAAAATAATTTCTACCGAGGGTTGTAGCCCGCAGCGTATTTATTTAATTGGTTTTATATCTATTATATAGAAAATCCGGGCCTGAATTTTTGCCTTGTTTCCAATTGTGTATTTTCAATTAAACATTTTTCTGATGCCTTGTTTTCGTTCAGACTATGAATATTCAGCGCAAAAACATTTAGCGAATAATATAAGCATGTTGCATGTATTGTTTTTTTTTTATTCCAGATATTTTAGATTACAGTAATGTTGTTATGCCCACTGATTCTACAGGGTCTGCACTTTTACCGCCTGTTTTAAAACCAAAAGGTATTTTATTTCACCCCTCTCTATCCATTCCCAAATAGCTTTATTGTTTCGAATTTTCTTGAATGCTGTGAGCTTTATCCTCTTCGATTATGATGTATGAGAATGGATTACTAAGTGAACAAAGTATAGGGATGTATTTGTTAGGACCAAAACCGGGAGTTCCCAGAAATCTGACGGTGAATGAGATCAGCAACGGATTTCTGATCACGTGGATGGCTCCGATTGACAAGGCCGATCTGATTCAACACTACGTCATCAAATATAAGACTGATGGACCTTGGAAAACCTTGAACAAAGCTCAAATTCGACCTGAAGATACTCAATATTTAGGTCAGTATCATGAGTGTAAATTTATGAATAATCATCACCTATGTGTATGACATATTTCGATTGAATCTTGATATTTCACATATTTTTTAAATTCATAGATAGCGACTCATCAATAGTGAGATCAGCATTCAAAATCTCATCCCATGAATTAATCATCAGATACTATTTTCAAAGCATCTTCAATGTTTCATTTCAAACAAAGAATTCATCACTCTGTGTTATTGTTTTGGAAATGTATAGCCCTTCAAATAGAGGTGCGACACGATCCACCTATCAGTCGAAATAAAAAAGTTGAAAACGTCTGATTTCAGTGAAAAATTTGGTGGGTGGCCGTACGTACTACTTCCGCATCCTAGCCTACTCTGCCAAAAGCTACGAGACCAGCGAAGAGGTGAAATTTTCTGTACCAGCCCGTGTCAAACACAAGGCCATCACTGCGGGAGTGGTGGGAGGAATTTTGTTTTTCATCGTCGCCATCATCTTGTCCGTGTGTGCCGTCAAGATATGCAACAAGCGGAAAAGGCGGAAACAGGAGAAAGGTGAGAAAACGCGAACAATGTAAAGTTGATGTGATTATCTATAGCCATGTTTTTTCAGCGTATAACATGGTGGCTTGTCGAATAACTGATTCTAGAAATGGGGGTAACGCCGCTGACAGTCAAGTGCCTTTGAAAAAGTGAGTCTTTGCTGTCTGATGTATATTTTTATTCACCTCATATATCTACAGTGCATTTCTAAAGTCGTCTGAACCCTGATAGCTCTCGAATGCGAATAAGGAAAAAATTAAATGACTTCGAGATGAACATCCATGATATATTCATGAACGAGATATTTCATGGATAGTCACAAGATATCCAAAGCGAACATAGCTGCGTAAACATAAATAACAAAATCACTGTTCAACGTTTTTATACAAAAATATCTCCACTTGTTCTCTTGGAATTGAGATGGACATGCTCTAGACTAGAACTTTCCTGATTATTTTTCTCATGGTAATTCTTTCTTCCAGTATTGTTTTTGTTCAATTGAAATGAATGGTGAATATGTTGCTCAAACAAAATCAACAAATATTGTGCATTTCGAACTGAAATTATTTATGAGGATATCCAAAAGTAATCATAAATCGTGAATTGTATGAAATAATAATCGTTTTAACTGGAGCTCAAAGGAATTTCGAGATAATTATAGCCACAGGATGGAAAGCTGAAATTGATTTCAAACGAGGTGTTATACGATTCCTTTGGCATTAAGGTTCTGAAGATAGTACTTCATATTTATAGATATTCTAGATCAAAAATAACTAGATCAAGGTTGATCGTTTCATTTTCATGTATTGAAGCAATTATCAAAATTTCAAGAGAATGTTGTGTATTCCAGTATCATCCAAAAAGTTTCTATTTATTGATAAATTGCAGGATTTGTGTTTATTGGACGGAATCAACAAAGTGCTTCTTATTTATTTGGGCTCAGAACTAATAATGAATTAACACTTATGTTATAATGATATTTTGCCGAAACTGGCGAAACTGCAGAAAATTAAAATTCAGATTACCAATCGAAGCCAAGATAAATATATACTCTTTGTAGGTTAATCCAGGAGTTGGTACAATAATTTTTCCAGATGAATCAGTAATTCTGAAATTCAATACAGTCGTTAAGATGTAAGATAACCTGTGAAATTTGAAACCCACAATAGCGAATGATTTATGATTTGATGCAACTCTTCATGAGATTCTGTTGTTTAGCTCTCAAAATTCGAGTAGAATAAACTTAGTTGAACAGAACGACAACTTACTGGTTAATATTGAATATAATGTTTTTCTGGGCGATGCCCTAACTAAGCTAACAGGTTTCAAGACTCTTTAGACTGGCACCGTACAAGTATTTGTCAGACTAACTTTCGATCTAACACGTAAAGAGGTTTCTCGGCATCACCACCGAATCTTTAGAAATCCCGTGATAAATGACATTTCCATTGGATAGCCGTATTGCACCGTACATCATGCCCGGGAAATGTAAACATTTTGAAAAAAGCAAGACGAATGGCCGAAGCGGCAAAAGAGAATTATTGCGAAAGTTGAGCTGAACAAATAGCAACACTTATCGCCAGAATACACCGCGCCAAAATTACACAACACACATTTGTAATGGGTGCAGGGAGTTCTGGAAGTCCCAAGTAAAAGCATTAGTCATTCAGAAATACTATCACTATTCACAGCTGAAGATTGCTCGATACTTCTTTCATTTGACACGATTCATGTTGCTGACAGATATTAATCGTATTGCTTTACGCCTCAGCGATATGAAATGAACTATTATATGAACTTCACCAGGTATTCCAATAGTCAGACTTGAGGATCTATCATCAGTTTGTAATCTAGTCTGGATTAATTGAATAGGGAGGTACTCATTGAGAGAGTACCTACTCATTTATTTTAAAAAAGATGACAATATTATGATAGACATCGGATTTGCAGTCGATTGGCTCTTGGACTATTGGAGGCATTCAAACCATGAAAAGTTCATTAATTTGGGTAAACGAGCTCTCTGAAACTGTCACCTCAGTCTTCAACAACATCATTCAACATTATTGGTGATACCTAAATATGCTTTCATTCCGGACCTGATGTTGATTTGAAGTTTGTATCTAACTCATTTGTTTGTTTCTGAAATGATATAAAATTTCAACATTTTATCTTGATCATATGAAATCTTTGTTGGATAGTTAATGGAGAACATGTTTCTCTTGAAAAATAATAAATCGTCCTAGAGATATAATAGTAATAATATGATTTTTTCAGTGGAGTAGATCTGATAAATTTAGTTCCAATCTGATATTTTAGTTTCCTTCTGTTACAATTCTAATGTCAAAAAAGTTCCTCGGGATATGTACCATATATCCAATTAATTTATCTCTCCAATGAGATAGCATCAGTAGCCTCCAAATAAGCTTCTTCCTCTCGAATAATAATTCATAAAATGAATATAATTATGTAAAAATATAGGTATTTTTGACCAGAAATGGAAATTTCTTGAAGAACTCCCTGTTGAATATCAATGTTAGTGCTGAATATGTGTTGTTATAGGACGGTGGAATCAGAGTCCTACCGTGATTATGAGAGCGTTTTCATCATTCCTGGGACAAGTTTAGACACTAACCGTAAGCATCAGGCTAGTTGAACTCGTTAAAAATTGCGAAAATGAAAACACAAACAAAAATTCTAATAAAATTCGCAGTCGGTAACGAGAGATTAGATACCTGTAGAGCGGGGGAGAGTGGCGCATATTTGATGCCCCACTAACTCCTACTTGTGTGTGCTTCATTTGTTCCTGGAATGTTCAATTGGACCTAGCGGTCCTTCATTCTGTGTAGATGCATTGAATTTTCTTCACAATGTGGTCAGAGATAAAGAAGTTTATAGCATATAGCAGTTGAAAGAATTATGATTTTTACGAAAAACACATTATCTATTACCATTTTGTGAATGATATCTACTTAGATCATTTTTATAGAAATATGATATACGTCATTATTTTCGCGTTCAGTTATCCATCAATGGAATATTTCAATATTGAATATGACTCGGCAAGGGTTTTTTAGGAGATCAGGAAATTCGCTAGAATACTGAAATTATATAAAAATTCGAAGTTCATTAAAACATTTCTCGACTGTGTGGAATCACATGGAATCTATTTAAAAAACACTAGTAGATGAACTATGAGAGTTCTGGTAAAAAATATGATTTATGCTTGTAGAGACTGACAGAGGGCGTGGTTTGAGCACGGTTATATGGTGAATACATATTGCTCTAATTCTTCTTACACCTCATGTGGAAGTACCAACACCATATTTTCAGGATCTTCACGGTCAACCAATCAACTAATTCTGAGCAGATCACGCCTACTATACTAACCCCTACCAAATTCATCATATGAGAATTTGTCGTAGAACTCTCATAGCGCTTCTACTAAGGCTATGCGTACTAGGTGTTACAAAATAAGTAGGTAATGAATATTTTAGAGTAGATATAGTATGGGTCAAAATCGATATGGAGAGTTTGAATAAACCTTCAAAATATTCAAACTTCGAGAGATGCACATATTCATTTTCAATATCCTCAAACACCTACTTCCTTTTTTTTCTCTTGGAGCGAGAGAGAGGGAATGTCTATGATGTTCGAAGAACATTGTGCGTACCTAGGAAAGATGGGGACAGGGACTTCCATCTGCAAATAATTCCAAAGCTCACTAGTTTCGTGTTTCATGCCATTTTTCTCCAAAAAGACGCATTTCCAAATCAATGTTCATGGATAACTTATTTTATTCTGACTAGTAGGTACTATGTAAAACATTTTCAGATTTTGTTATCATCGTTTCAACATAAATTAATTTTATTATTCAGCCTTCACCTAGTGACGCATGTGGTAATTCCATCACTCGAGAACTTATGTTTCAAATATGGTTCGTACAAATTAAAGGGAATAAAAACGACTGTTCTAGAATAAAACGTGGTCGAATGAAAGGCCTGAAAGGATTTACAGCTGTGATTACGCTGCCGGGATTATTACCTGCATTAATCACATTTTCCGACGCGGAAAATATGATCGGCTTTCGCGATTTCCACTGACCCCTCTGCGTTTCCACTCCGCACTCGACTTTTCCGCAGCGGACCTCCGCGGAAAATTTATCGTAGCCTGAATAAATCGCGATTTGTCCAAAAAGGCCACTCGAAAATTGATCCGCCCCAAAAGGTTATTACTTATTAGCTGAGTGAACCATGCACCCATGTTTACCAACGTTCAGTAGAGCGTTTTTTTCACGAATGTTCGAAATTCCCGACTTGAAGTGGCACAAATACGAACTCGTTACTTCGGTGCAAGAATTTACACCGAAATATGGTAGTAAATAATATGGTTCCATAGTATTTTGATAGGCCCGGACTGGCTACTATTTTGCTACTGGGCATATTCTTAGACTGTCCCCAATTTTCAGGTCCGTATAAATAATCCTTATTTCAGTATGATGACGGTAGGATATAGGAATCCAGTTGAAGGTAAGGAAGGCTACGAATTAGGAGGGTCATATTAACAGCATAAAAAAAATCCGGAAATCCTATGTTTTTCAGTTGGATCCAAAATGTTTGGAGAATCTTTTTTCATGTTATTATTGGAAAACATTTCTTCGGGATTCTCTATCCTCGTGCCGTATTTTTTTATATTATCTACAAAGTTGTGTCTTCTTTGCGATTATTCTAGTCTTACAGCTTGAAAATATTCACCCAGCTCAACTCGAAGTACCATAATAGTGCAATCAATGAACGCCAAAAGAGGTCTAATAGTGGAAAAAATCGAATAGTGGAAAAAAATCGTGTAGTCACGTACAGTGGTATAATAAAGTGCCATGAACAACATACTGAAATTCCTGACGCATAGGGGATGAGCAGGGCGGTAGGGGAGCGGTTGAAGGTCATTTTCTCAAGTTATTCTTGAATGATTCGAAAACCGCGGCATGTAGCGAAAAAATATTAGTTTAAAAAATCAAATAACATGAAATTTCCTATAAAAAAAGGTCCCATCCAGTTTTCGTCTACAATGGATATTTCCTGAGATAAAGGGGATGAAAAAATCGAGAAGTATCAAAAATAGTTCAAGTGTATGACATTGGTGTTTATTGTTA